CACACATATACCCCCCCCCAGCACCCTCATAAACCTCCGCCTCCCCGCCGGCCCCGGCGCCCTGTCTGCGCCTTAAGTGCTAGAGAATGTTATATGATGAGTTAGCGTTTATTTTGGCGATCACTTGGCGGTTTTCTATTGTGATGTGATGAGTTAGAGTTGATTATAAGTTCGCGCTTCGAAAGCGAGAAACTACTGTTACCAAGTAAAACAGATAATTTTCGTTAGTTTTCTATTTTTGATTGAAACCTATTTTCTTGTGTTTATGAATAAACGTATTATTGTTTATCAATTCATAACACTATAAAGGTCGTCTCTAATACTCACTCTCACTTTTGATGTCATCTTTGATGGTGTTTGATCTGCAAAGCCAACTAAGGACAATCGAGAGGATACCTGAGTAATAACCGAGGTTGCTTACTCACTGTAAATGAAACAGAATGTTCTAAGAAGGAAACACCCCGTGCACATCTTTAGTCTTGGGGCCAGTTTTGACTTTTTTTCATCTTGTAGTGGCCGCATTGCCGCATCTCCGGCGAATTTGTTTTCAGGAGAGATACGACACAAAAGAGAAAATAGGGTAGTAGGCTTGATCCATTCAGCAATGTCATTCATGAATATCAAAACGAGCAAATGGTACAAATTCGATCCTTGCAGAACGCCCAATGATCCAGTTGGGAAAAGAGACTGTTGATTTTTACCCTTTGAGTTCGCCAACAAATGGCAACAAACGTAGTAGGGAACTACTATTGAATGAAGTTTCAAACAACCGTCATTTTTGTTTTCGTTTAAATATTAACAATGGTTATTAAACTTTACTTACATGTCATAAGCTGACTGTGCTTTTGTTTTCTAAGTTAAATAGAGCAAATTCGGGATGAATAAGTTGTCAATGAGATAAAATGAAAGAAACTCAAGGTTATGCTACAAATGTTGTTGTATTTTGTGCTTTTGACTTAAAATTGATCTTTACCCGACCATCTTTGACAGATGGATATGATGTTTCTTTATATGAAATCAACAATCGTCTTTAACATCGAACGTAATACCTCTGGGTTTTGCATCAGTCAGAAGATTATCGAACGCTGTTCTTGTAGAAGTTTTTCGTGTACTCATTTTTCGATGAAAAAGAAACAATATTGTCTAACGTGTTTAACAGGGTCCATCTCTCAGTTTTTTCCGCCAGTTGGTACAGCACAGTCTGAAGTATGTATCGTGCAATTTATCAGTTTCGGAATTTGTATTCTTTGAAAAAGCACTTCTGAAATGTTATTCATGTTTTTTACTCAAATTTTGAAATTTAAATAAAATCGTTAAATTTTAAAATGAAGTTTCGTTATTGCGTCATCATCAGATAAAAGAGTTTCTATATATATATAGAAAACATGTGTTCATCGTTTCATGATGAAGTTTGATTTCAAGAGTATGCGCAACACTGCAAAACAACCATGCTCTAAACAACAGCAAGATTTTTGGTTTAGTAGTGACCTATATAGATGAATAGAAGGTAAATCCTTTGGCCAGTCCTTATTAAAGCTGCTTCTACTTATATTATCAGTTAGAGCAGTGAAACTAACGTGTGATTAAAAATTTATTTAGTATAGCAGAAATATTACACATCGACAATTTCTTACCAATGCAATGGTATGATTATAAAGTATTAGATACAAAAATTGCTCGTATAAAACAACAGTGACAATAGAGTAAAACAAAAATATTTTGCGAGATTATGGAACATCAAGTTGCCGTATACAATAAAAGGTAAAACTATTAATAGAAAAGAAAAGACTAGATTTGATTTATGACCTCTTCAATTTATACTGACAGACTAATTGATTATTATAAGAGCAAATGTAAAAGGCGTAATCCATATGATACCTACCACCATTATCTCAGAGACAAAAACGGAGATCGAAAATTAGGCTCTGTTATGCCCTAGAAAAAAGTGCTGGCTACATTTCAAGGCCAGCCTGAGATTTGTAGCACTTAAAATAGCGGAAAAATCTTGGAATTATGCAATACTGCAAGACAAAAATCGATGTAGAGGAATGAAAGAAAAGGAGAAAAGCAGAGTTCTAGGTGCTTTTAGAAAATGCTTATAACTTTTGATGGGAATATCGTACAGAGCTTAGCAACGTCTCATTTTGAAGAAAACATTTTTCTATATATGAATAGGTGTTCAAAAAGATTTTGGCTGATCAGGATATATGTGGACGAGTTTTGGAAAGTAAACAATGATGAGTTAGAATCTCTGGTGGTCAATCTTAAAAAATCTATAACTTTTGAAAGAACAGTTATACAATCAAACTCTTTGGAGGTCAAGACTAGGACATCATGTAATATCTATCGGCAAAAGATCATCGAAATCGGAGGGTATCAGGTAGGGACCATTTCTCATAAAGCTTAAAAGCAAACTGCTTAGGACAATAAATGAGTAATGTTATTCGTTAACTATTTAAATGCTTAATCATATTCTCATATATATTTTGTGATCGAGAATAATTTATATTCGCTGAATCATTATTACCTGATCGGTTATACTCATCACCTTGTTTTATATAATATAATGCTAGATCCAGTGCTAATTTATACAACAAACTCTCTTCGATGCTGAATACACCCCATACTTTTGGATAAGATTCAGACCATAATTTTAACGATTGAATATCAATGTTATCGCAATGAATATACAATGAATATATTTGAGATAAATCATGAACAATGAGAATTAAGTCTTGAGCGTATTTATCGCATGTAACCAAAAAGATGGTTGTATCTGACTTAGATTGAATATATTCCAAACATTTGTATTTATCGTCAAAGAATATAAATCGCTCGCCAAGTTTATCTTGTATTCTGTTACCAATCTGGTTCATTTCCATATCGCTAATTAACCATACAAGAGACACTGTGCTATTATTACCTTTATAAAAAAATGGGTGTAAACCTTTTTTATTATGAGCTGTAGTCCAAGTGAATGCTTATAAATCAAGTCTTCCCTCTGCTTGAATCCTTAATATCTTTCAAAAATGCTCTTATTTACCTTTAGTATCTTGTGTATGCTGAACTAATACAACCTCATCGAATCTGGTTTGAGGAGACGATCGATTTACCGTAGTAGTTGATATTGTGACTGTTTGTTCGTTATTTTGCGTTGTACTTGAAGACGGTTTATTGCTTTGTGTGCGAATTTGATTATTATCAACATTTGTTTTATCATTATCTGATAAAGTTCGATTATTAAATGGTATTAAATATCCAAATAATGTTGACTGGAATAATTCTGAAAGAGTTTTTAAGTATAATATCCATTGAAGAATATCATGAATAATTAATTGGTAACAAAATGTCTTTCGATTGTGTTCGGATAATGAATAATGCATTGAATCAGTCATTTAAACTTTCCTAAGAATTAAAATTTAAACAATAAATGATCAGTCTTGATAATAATATAGAATGAAGTAATCTATGCTCATGCGAGGTTCGGATGTATTTCAAAATTTGATCGAAAACGAAAGTGAACAGAAAATTATTCTGATGTCATAGGCTGATAGAGCACACCTGATAGTCTAAGAAAATCTTTGTTTGCAAACCACCAAGTCCTCATTTTCAACTACACGGGTTTAGAGCCAGACCTGATGAGAGAACCTTTTTTCGTTCTTCAGACAATAATCGACAACTAAAGCCGCATATGCAACCAGATATAGATTTTTGAACATGCTCTATCGTAGAGATGTTTAATAAATGCTTCTAGATGGCTTTTAGAATTTGGTCTCTGGAAACCTCGGTTTTCTAGAAAAACTATCATTTGAGGTATTTATAAAAACGAAGTAGCCCATTCGCTTTGGCGCACACAGACATTTCTATCATGAAAGTTTACGCTTTTTACTATAAGGTGTGACAACTAACGGATAGGATATTTCAACGTATTCTTCAAATAATCCGCTTCAGAATTGATCTCAAGTCGAGCTTCTTTTAGCGCAATCTTTGACCGAGATATTATACATGTGGCAAAAAATCTCACCTTAACTACGTATACTGTGGTCAAGAGAAGGGGTATGTGAGTGGAAGAAATTGAGTGTCAAACACTGCTAGGTAATAGCAAATCGTATTTTGAGAAAAGACGAAAAGAACTAGTAACTTGCAGTTTTTATCAATCGATTTTGAGGTTAAGTCTGCACAAAAAAGGTGAAAACATAACAGGTATAAGACTTAATTTTTGTGCGATTTAGCAAAAGTTGATGGGACACCAGATTTTGACTTTTTGATGACTACATGTTGTAGTATGTGGTTTTTGCAAAAATGAAAGGAGATCACGCAAAACCTAGACCGATAGAACAGAGAAAGCACTATATAAATTGAATGTGTAATTTTGGCGTTCTGCGAGGTTAAAAAGTTTGAGTTATAAAGCAAAACATGCGAGAGTCACTTAGAAAACAAACGAGAAAAGAACAGAAAAAGAAAGTGTTTTACTGACAGCGGTTAAAGATAAAACAAAGATCTTACCGCCGTATATAGACTGAAGTGTCCTCTACAAAACGACAGTAGTTATAAGTAGTTCGTGCAGGCTAAGCAGAGAATTAGACGAGGCCATCCACTAGGGTTAAACGATACAAAAAATTAAGGTTACCATTGGATAGATTTAATCTCCCGTAGAAGAACTTAGAATTTCTTTTTCTCCTAGATAATAAACAGAAGAAATTGAAGTTTTAAGTTTTCCTGTAGTGGAAATAAAATTTCTTTTCTTCACCAGCAAAATGGCCGGAAAGTAACGACAGAAAAAGGTTGTACATATAACACCATTCCGATGTTATATGTACAGCTTCTAGGAACTAGCTAACACTCCTTCAATTAATATTCTAGCGAACAAAACTGCATTTCTGTTATATGAGCATAAGTTTTTAAGAAAAATAGTGTGAGGAAAATACAATGTTCTGCTCAGAATGCCACTCGAAGCGCAATTATAAGTTATATGAAGTAATTTCTGCTATATAGTTAAATACACGTACTTATTTAACGTAAGTTCAAGTAAGAATACAGGACGTGAAATGCTGCTTTGAGTTCACATATAGATATAGCTTTCTCTTTTTCTTCGGTCAACAAGTGTATCGAAGAGTACAGAAAAGAAAGAAGAATGTAGGAAAAAACGAGAGAAAAAACGATGGTGTAGATTATAGTAGAACTGAATTCTTTTCTTCTCTGAGTTTCTATGTAAATAGTTCGAGGTAATCGAAAAAATCTATGTTCTATTTACTTTTTCAGTAAGATGCTGAGCTTTCTAGTATATCTGACAACACATCATACATACATACATGCGAACTGTGCAATAAAACTGGCCACTACTAGCGTCGCTGTGGCATAGAGAGCGTGCGAATTTAACTAGCAATACCGAACTTTATCGAATACACACGTAAAATCAGTTAAAATTGAATCTGAACTGTTAGATGAGACGGATGATCAAGGCCACTCGCAGGGGGATATATGTGTTTAATCGGAGTTAAGTCAAAAACTTCGAAGAATATTACAAGTAAAAAGTGATATCATTAATGATTAGCTGCTATGCTGACAAAAAAGTGTATATCCTGAACTAATAGTTTTCGAGAAAAACATGTCTGAGGCTTTTTGAGAGTTTCGTCCTCAATATTGAAATTTGAATAAAAACTTCACTTTTTAAAATAAAGACTCGTTTCCTGTGTCGTCGGATAGAGAACACCGAGTTTTAATCATTCAACCAAAATAACAATGAGTAGTCTTCCTACTTCGCAGTAACGATGACGCGAGAAGCTTCGAAAGTTTGCAGAAAATTTTGAATGTAGGATAATCAATCAAAGATCAAATAATTTGATAATGGTATCAATTGTTGAGTGTTATGCAACCAAAGTTGGACCTGGTACCGGTCCAGTCCGGTTGAGCTTTTCAATAAGCCGGTTAACACCGGTTTTTTTACCAGTTTAACCACACTTCAACTGCCCGGTTGCTGCCGGCTTCGAATCACAAGCGAAATATGAATACTGTACGACAAAAGTTCGAGATGTCAACTGGAATCGCCCAAGGGAGATTGAAAACAGGCAGTAGACCCAAAAATGATCTATTAATTCATTTTACATTTGTCCTATCACTGGCAAATTTCGAATATAGATGAACACAGGTTAAAATTTTTCCTACTGAGTTTCATACATCATCAGAAATTAGTCCGCGAATTTTTCTTCGTTTCGTATTGGGTTGAACTTCGTGCTCAATATCTCACGTTAATACTGAAATAACCATAACAGGAAGATTTTGAAAATACACAAGCCTAGCTTTCTGCAAAAAATCCGGTTTTTCACAAAATCCGGACTTTAATCTGCTATGGAATCGACCGTTTTTAACCGTGAAGTCCGCGTTAAACCGGCCGGTAAACTGGCCGGTCCGGTTAGGAGAAATTCAACCGGTTCCAAGTCTGGATGCGACTGTAGTGTGCTTAATTTTTATTTTCAGATACTTAGTATATCATACAATTGATTAAAGCAACATCCATATTTTATTCAATTAAAATTAATATTACTCAACGTTTCGACTGTCCATCCAGTCATTTTCAAGATAACATACTGTACATAAAATTAAGTTCAACAGAATTGAAAATGACTGTATGGACAGTCGAAACGTTGAGTAATATTAATTTTAATTGAATAAAATATGGGTGCTGCTTTTGTCAAACAGTTAGTTTTTTCTAAATTATTGGCTCTAAATCGATTTAATGATTAATAATTGACCTGCTACGGCCCTTAGACTGAGTCACTAGTATCCACAATAGTCTAGATACTTGTAAAACATCACGGACAATCAAAATTCACTCAAAACACAAAATGAAAAAATTTATGTACTGTTCGGTTTAAGGATGGCGCTCTGGCCAGCCATCTCTGCTGCCGGAGTGAAATTCCGTAACGATTTTTTTCCATTTTGTTTTTCTTATAATGTTTGAGTAACGAGACGCCTAGAGATCTAGACTATCACAGATTAAAGAGAAAAGTGTGCTAAAGATTCTGAGATGTTCCTACAGTCTACACATTCTTTCATTCAGAAACTATGAGAAAAATACAAACACCTACTTTTTCGGTTAAGTTTTGGAAAGTAG